TCAGAACTGTCACCACTACTTGTTATTAATGGAAAACTAAACTTTCTAGGAATGTACTCCCTCATATGGTATCTCATCTACACATCTAATGTCAGGCCAAGCATATTAGACAGGACCCAACTGGCTGCATAGTTAATAATTTACCAAAACAATATTTTAAGTTTTGCATTGGCACCAGTTTAATTGCTCTTCATTAAATGCACCAATGTCAAAGTCACCTTTACCACTGATTTTGGCAAGTACAGCAGAACACCCCTCCAGGGGATGGAGAAAGTAAAAAGCTTCCTCTTGCAACCTGAGTAGTCTACCAGGATACTCGAGATTAGAATGTATTTTGCAAAGCCAAGTTTTTCAAGTAAATGTTAGATGTTAATTATGTTAGAAGTCTAAAAGCCTCAACCTGGCAACTCAGAAAAAATAGCTAAGTTGAGAGAAAAGAATCAAGATATTACAAAACAGTCAGGTCCCAGCTCCTATCCAGGCTCTGGCATATTGAAGTAGCAAGGTGTCTATTTGGGACAATTAGGTTTGCAGTTACTTACTCCTCAGCCTTCCCTAGTCCAATGCTGCCCATTTTCTCTCCAGCCCTTTTGGCATAAAGGTGCCTTCCTGGCACCCTGTGAGCGTGGTCAATGCAGTGCAGACCAGAAAGCTCTAAGTAGGTGAGGAACTCCTGCTTTTCTCCTCTAAGTTAAGGAAGTTCTTCCCCACAGGTAGCTACTGCTATGAAAACAGTTTTGAATTGTGGAAAGCTGAGAAACTTGCCTCCTCCAAAACCATTAATTAGGTCATTTCTCAGCTGCAACATCTAATCTTTATGGAATCAACGGAAGTTAAGAGTTGAGCTGAAATTAGAAACCAGGCCACAGATAGCATCATTGACCATTTCTGCATTATTAAGGAAGGTTACTATATTGAGGAACTGAATTTGTTAGTACTGCTCTGACTAGAAAGGTAGCAAGCCACCTACCACACTTGCCTTGTTTTTCCACCTTCTTGCTCACCAACCTCATGATGCAGAAAGAGACTGCAGAGGTGGGGACTTGAATTTCAAGCCCAGAAGAAAAGATGCCTTCTGATAAGAACTAGCAGGTTGTAAACAGTTTAGCTAGCTAGCTCATGAGGAAAGAACTACTCTGTTTTAACTAACTGTGGTATGGACAGATGTGCTATTAAACTTATCTTTCCACTTGGACCAGATGATACGACTATCTCTTCTCAATAGTGACCCAAATTTTTAAAGAAACCCTTTGCACAGTTTCACATTGCTGACTTGTATGCAATTCCTGCTCAGGCAGAGTCAGAGACAGCAGCTGCCTTCAAGAAATACCTGCAGTGAAGAATACATTTAAAGCCTGGGTTATATGTGATCAAGCCATCCAGAAAAAGTGCCTTCACCAGAAGCAGCAAGTAGTCACCAAGAGATACAGAAATGGTATTGGCAAATGGGAAAGTTTAAAGGTACTCAACAGTCTGTCTGTAAGACAAGAGATGGTTTCAGAGAGCACTGAAGTCTGATTTCAGTCAAGCCAAAATAAAAGGAAAAACATATTGCCAACATGGTAGTACCTGGAAGCCATCCAACTCAAGCTGGGGTTACAACAGTCCCAAGCATGAATGAAACACATCTAGGCAGGCTCTTGTTTTCAAGAGGCCTTGCAGAAGAGACAAAACATCTAGAAAATGTTCTCCCTTCTTTCTGTTTTACCCCTTAGTAAGCAAGTGAGACTCAAGCTTTACCACCCGTTTTAGTCCAGGGCAAGAACTTTCCTAGGGCTGAGCCTCAGTCCACAAGAAAAAGCCAGTCGGGAACCAGAAGAGACATGAGACAAGCTGCAGCACATCATTGTCACATATCACAATTACCTCATCATAACATTCTGAGAGCAATTCAAAAGTGTTCACTTTGGTTCAAGGGGCTGAGCGACCCTTTAAAAGACTCCTCACACAACAGCAAGATAATCCCTCAGGGAAAGTAAAAAAGGCAGACAGGTACTTTGAAGAGCAGCAAAGGGATGCATTCAGAACAGCAGAGCACTTTGGAAAGAGGGAAAATTTATAACACTTCACTATCTATACACTTGACTGCTTCTGAAAGACACCTCCCAAAAGAATGTGTAACCCTTCCACATCTGTGCAAGAAGGGACACAAAACACATTCCTTCACAGACTGAAGTCCAGCCAATCTGAGTTTTCAAAGGGCTGAACAATGACAGGAAAGCCACCCAGGTACAATGCAAGCTGGTAAGTTGTTTGACTAATGCTCAGTACTTCATAGAGCCAAAGCAGCTAAAAGTCTCAAACTTTGGATCTACACTAAAAATCCAATCAGCTGGCTACCAGGGCACACTGTAGAGTCACCTTTTAGTAGTTCACCTTCACTAACAAGCACTTTTTTGTTATCCTCTGCTTATCTACTCACAGTGAGGTCAGTCAGATGCCAGGGTATAAAAACAATTGAAAACAACTCCTTGTCTTGAATTTCACTTTTACAAAATAGTGCATTTTTACCCCCTGATAGCAGAGAAGCTTTCTTCTATTCTTATACTTTATAAAGCACTTCTTAAGGCTCCTTGATTTCAGTTCAGCTGAAATCATGTGGAACTGGCATGTCATTTATCAATGTTATTTTTCTATCTACAGTAAACTCCTCGTGCACACAGAACCCAAGACTGAAAGAGTCTATGAAAGTGTTAGCTAAGCAGACTAGATTTTCCCAGTACCAGCTACCACTGAAGCATTAGTAATACCTGTAGCTTCTTGAAAGCCTGATAGCTCAGAATAGACCTGCACTCCACAACTCCACTGTTAAATACCTTCAAATAAGGAAAAAATTTAATATGACTTAACAGTAGGTTTTGCAGACTGACTTCTAGGGCATCCAGTTTTTCCTGTGCAGGTTTGTTTAGGATTAGACAGAGTTCTCAGACTAGAGTAGATGGCAGGGAATGAAAGAGAGGATTCATCAGCAGGACACAGTGTGCATCTCTGTCCACTGATGTCACCAAGAGGACAGCATTGGGTTACAGAGACAGCTCCGTGTGACATCCAGGAGTGGCAACACTACATCTCACAGGCAGATGACAACTTCCAATACTGTTCTTCCAACTATTCCCTTACTGTACCCTTATTCCCTTACGGTATCCTCACGTGACTTCCAGGTGTGGCATGACACCAGAACATGCAAAGGAGTTAAAATACAGCACTTTGAGGAGGCCTAGTCCAGAAGCTGAGGCAAACACAATGTAGATGAGGCACAAATACAGTTCAGCTCACTGTTACAGCTCTAGTCTCAGTAAGGATATAGACGATTGACTATCATCCATAAGATTACACTTGGACAACACAATTTCAGAGCACAAACTTGACTATGATTACTAGCGAGAATACAGCCAGTCCTAAAACATTATAGAGGCCCCAAACTGGCCTGAATTTCAATACCCGTATCCAAATTGTAGCTTCATCAGCTTATTTCAGAAGGATCTTGTTCAAGGGGCCTGAAATCTCCAGAAGCTCAGTAGGGCAGGTTTTCTGCAATGGCAGAGAAGTCTGTCCCTCTAACTACAGAACCACCGATCCAGAGATAAGTCCCCTGCTCTGAGCCCTGCTAGAGCAAGATGCTTGGGCTAGAGCTGTCTGTAGGAAAATACTCTACCCACTCTTCTTTCTGACTTCATGTAGCTCCTGCAACAAGCACTGCAAATACCAATGGTCTCCTTTGCAACACAGCTCTAAGTGCAAGGTCACCTTTGACAGATGTCACGCCAGGCCCTTGGTTTTGCTCTTAAGGCTTTTGCTTAAGCCCTGAAGTAGCAGGTATAAGGCAGGTCTGATCAGACTGAAGACAAAGCTGTGAGCATTAGCCCTATCAGCTGATCAGATTATTGGACAGAAGAGAGATACCTGGAAACTTAACCCATTTAGCAACTCCCTGCCAGGGGTTTAAAGAGAACACAATTTAACAGTGCTCTTTTTCAACTCCTCATTGAGGCTGTCACTGCAATACTCAGAGATCTTGCAGTCAGAAAGCAGCTTTCAACAAGCAGCAGCCCAGCCTGTGACCTACACAAAGCTAAACTCATGCCCCACTTTGCAGACACATTTGTAGTTACAGCAAGCACATAAGCAGTGCTATGGGGGAAGGATGAGGGTCAACTAAAAGCAGTTTAGCTCTCTCACAGCCTCCAATACATCAGCATTACAGCTGCACTGTAGTTCAGGGAGTAAAACTTGTAGGAACCACAGTTAGCTAAACACAATCAGCTGCTTTCTCCAGACAGTTTATTTTTTTGCAGTTCTTTAGGAAAGTTTTAAGCTGTATAAAGATGTATCCCTTAGCATTTTAAAGATCATGTTCTTTCCAATAGAACAAATAAATTCAGTCATTTTGGTGCTTAATCAGTGTTTTGCCCCCAGAATCTATACCATGGAGGCTTGGGGTTATAAAACAAAGCAATGGCACAAACTCACCTGATCCCTGGACTGGGCCCTTGCAATAATGAGTCTCCGAGCAGAGTAAGAGATGAAGCAGCCCAACGCTGCTGCTGCAACAACAAAAAATGACACGGAGATGAAGAGGATGGTGAACACACTCATTGAAAGACTGCGCTTCTTCCCAACCTCGATGACCATCGTCACTTTCATGCCACTCCGAATCCTGTGCAGGATCTCCATGCCTTTCAGGTTGCTAATCATAATTGCAACAATCTTTCCAGCACCTGCAAAGGAGAAGGGGAGACCATGCTAAGTTCCAAGGTTTTGTATCAAAGTCATTGTCTTAGATGTTCAAGTGCTAAAGAAAGGACTGTGGGAAGTTTCTAACTAGTATTTGTAGATTCAACATGAGCTGATGGAACAAGTGTCATCAACATGCGCTTGTCCAACTGAAAGATATGTCTGATTACCTATGAGCTTCATAAGTGAACCATATTTAGAATTCATTCCTCTCCATAGCACTCCTCACTCCTATATAGGACACACATTGTTCTATTTTAGACACAACACTTTGGCAATTTACATTTTAACACGTCTTTGAACTACATGAAGTTAAAAATAAATCCTTTACAGTGTGAAGTCACTGGGGATTGCGATATCTGCAGGGGCTCACGGATGCCAGATCCACAGCTAATGGCTTAGGGATGCTTCCTGTAATGGATCTGACTTCCTCCCTGCTCCTCTGTTACCTCTCAACACCTCTTTTCTAAATTTGACAGCACTGTTGAGTACTTTCCCAGACACTGAGCAATCAAAGCCATAGATCAGCCATTGCTTCTGTATTTGCAGCAGCAATTGAGAAATGATTGAGGGAAATTTGGTTGTGAACCATAAATGCTGTTGTGAGTTTCTAATGCAAATTCAGAGGGAAGCAAACACGGAGGGAGGTGTGCTCAGCTTTTAAATAGCTGGTGGCAAGATGGCAAACACCATCCAGATTTTAACAACAGGTTTCCTTCACTCAGTTGAACACCTTAACAAGTCAAAGGAACCAAGAGGTTTATGGTAGGAAGAAATTTCAAGCAACTGTGGTCACCAAGCACAGACCAGAACAAAGCTGCTTTCCTTTCAGTGACATGCAAGTGTTTGAGGACACTTGATACCATTTGCAGGAACTCCAGACAATCCCAATGTAACAGAGAGGCTTATAAGAGAGAGGAAAAGGGAGAAAGGGAAACAAGTAAACTGTTACTGGTCTCTCTCTAAACTAAATACAAGAAAAGTAGATTTGAAGACCTGCTGATCAGGAATCTTACTGCATTAAACCATCACCTGCACAACATTGATAATATATATTGCATAGTGAAGGAATAAAGACAGTTATAGAACAGTCTTTATTAGCTAACCTGCCAACCAAACACTCTTTAATGGGGAAACCAATTGTTGTTCCCTCCATTAAAAGAAACTTCCAGCTATCAAAAAAACTGGGATTGGTCTTAAACCACAAAGGCTTTCATTGAAGAAAGTCCTTATTAGTTTTCCAGCTTGTTCATGTAATGCCTTTGATCCAGCACAGCTAGCAACTCTCCTCAGTGATACCAAGCTCATCTTTTATTCAGAAAGGTCCTTGTAATGAGAAGGACATCACACAGAGAAGAGGAAAAACAACTTTAAAAAGTAAAAACAAAAATCAGCCAGACTGCAACTACTATCCTTTAGGATGAACTAGGGCTTATACATCAGCTATAAATGAGCCAGAGGTGTTAGGAGAGAGAAAAGAATTAAGCATGGAGCAAGTCAGAAACTGAGACTTGCTTTCATAAGCATGGAACAAAGTGTGGAAGAACAGGTTGCAACAACGAGAAAATAAAAAACCTGCCAAAATAAAAGAGCAAAAGAGCTTGTTCTGCCTTATTCCACTTTGGTTCTGCACATTTCATGAGTCAAATATAACTGGCAGTTATGCACAATACAGACCAAGCATACAGATTCCTGTTAATGAAATGTCACCATCAGCCTGCAAAACCACTCCAGCTACTAAGTCATCTCTTAAAGAAAAGAAATCTTCCATTTAGGTTTCAGGCTTATAAGTTCACAAGGGTGTCATTAGAGGACAGATTTAATTCTTCTTGACACTTTCCCCCCACAGAGATCTCTATTGCAATTTCAGCTCTGCTTCAGATAAACACATGCAAGAGGCCAGCTGGTGGCTTTGGCACTGGCAGAAGGGCAGAAGTAAGACTGGCCATTTCCATCAGCCCCAGGACAACTGCTGTGCTCCCAGAATAAAAGCATTAGGATCACCCCCACCCAACACCTCCTGGGCTGCTAGACGGGGTCCCATATGACAGGTACTGAAACATGTTACCCACCCACCTGGACAGAGGCTCCTTTCAGGGCTTGGGCATTGTAATGGAAACAAGGTATCTGAGGGAACATCTGCAGAGGTGTCTCAAGCACAGCAGCTGCCCTCAGCTGTGAGCTTTTCCCCACCAAAACTCCAGCAGAACAAGAGGAAAGTCAGTTATTTGCTGTGCATGGCAAAAAGCTCACAGAAACCCAAGTCCCTTGCCCAGGTGTCGGCTGTCGTGGTTCAGGTAAAGCTATTGTAACAGTTTTTAAGGGACACTAGAAGTTGAAATTAAGTTGCTGCCCGTTTAGCTAATAATGGGCTCATTGCTGAACAGAAGCAAGACCTGTTTAGTTAAACATTTCCCAGCCTCTTTCCTTTCCCATTTCCTGTGAAACTGGAAAGTTATTCAAGTCTTCAGACAAACACAACCTGCTTCTGTAGATTTGGAGTTTTGCAGAAGGTACCTCCCAAATCGTAAGGTAGCACACTGTTCAAAATCTGAAGGATGCTGTTTGGTGGAAATGTGTTGCCACAGATGAAGCACAAGAACCTCAATGGTTTGTTGGGGTGGGGAAGAGCTGGGGCACAACACATTTGGCACACAAGGGCAGTGCATGACTGGGATCAAAGTTTTGCCTTCATGTATTGGGTTGACTTAGATGTAGTTGCATCTATTTATACCAGTTATTTATACCAGAAACTATTTATACCAATATCAATGTCTATATGATCCTCTGCCCTGCAGACTTCACTTGTTCTGCCATTACACTTCTGTTCCCTGTAAACACAGAGTTACAGGTTTGGCAATTCAGTAGAGAAATGCACTGTGCAAGGGGGGCACAGAGCTGTGAGCATTAACTTTTGCATAATAAGCAGAGTGAGATAAAGTGCCCAGAGTTTTGCCAGTATTCTTTCACTTTGTCCAGAGAGTGCCTCTGCAACAGAACAGCTGTGCTGCTTGTCCCCAGGACCAGCACAGCTCACACTGGCTTGCCCAACACTTCACTGGATATACCCGCACTGCTAGTATCAGCAAACCATTTCAACAGCCCCAGCTGACCATCATGTAAGCCACCTGCTCAGAAAAGGCAGAACAGAAAAAATTACTTTGGATTTTGGAGTTTGAATTTTCAAGGAAAGAACAGGCTCTCCTTAACCACAGGCAAATTGCAATCTGAGGGCTCTTTCAGGAGATGAAATACAAACTCTGGATTTGGTGGTTGGATATTTGCTTTCATCTACATGATATGGCACTTGCAGCACAGAAAATCAGCACTAGCTGTGCCTTCAGCCTTAGTCAGAGGAGCTAGAGGTATTCCCCTGGCACACCTCCAGCCCCACCATCAGCAAAAAGGCATTAGGAAAGTAAGCCATCTCCTGTACTTTAACATGAAAGACAGTATCAATTGACACTCCAACTGTTTCCTACCAGATTAGCACACCTGGCTCCTCAGGCATGTAAGAGGAACACTTGATACACTGTCTTTCAGGTTTAAAAAAAACCCATAACAACCAACCAAACAAAAAAAGACATAGCATCTTGAACATTGCTTATCTCACTGTACTGGAATAGTAAGAAAGGGAATTTCTGGTGGTAGTCAAACAGGCTGGTGCAAGCTTATTGTTATCTGTTACAGTAGAAGGGAAAATAAATGAACAGTGTACACAGACTGAGCTGGTATTACCAACATGATGCAATTCACCTTGGATGACAGGCCAGAGGTGCACACATAAGCCATCCTGTCTCAGCACCATACCTCTCTAGGGACATGAGGGCTGTCCCCAGTCTCAGACACTATGAAACCAGAGCCTGCAGGCTACCCCTGCTCTCATCCATGGTACAGTGTGGCCAGAAAAGGTGGTGATTGCTCTCATCCACACACACAAGGCAAAAATCTCATCAGGAATGTGCCCATCCCCACAATCATCCTCCACTGTCAGAGGAAACGCCTTTATTGCCCTGTGATAACTTCTCCTCTTTGCATGAGGGGAGGGTGACTGAACTCAGCTCAGGAGCACTTTAAGCCTGGGTGAGTTGATATGTCTGTAGGCTTGTCCCCCCTCCTTCCCCTGCTCTGCATACTCTCCACCCCAAACATTACCTGACACTAAGATAAAAGAATTGCTCACTTCCAGGATATTGCAGTTATTTAAAGAAACAGCCCCTTATGACCTCAGCTTTTTGACTGAACTGTCTTCTTGCTCCCACTTTCACCTAAGCTTAATTAAATCTACTTTCAGCTTGCTTCACTTGACAGCTGGCACTATGCCTGATCTCCGTCTCCTCAACACACAAGTCGCTCAGCGTACAGAGGTAAATTTTCACACAGAATCATTGAATGGTTGGGGTGGGAAAAGACCTCATGAGATCATCTAGTCCAATCCCCCTGCTAAATTAGGTTCACCCAGAGAAGTTTGCAGAGGTTCAGATCCAGACAACTTCTGAATATCTCCAGTGAGGGAGACTCCACAAACTCTCTGGGCAGCCTCTTCCAGTGCTCAGTCACCCTCACAGTAAAGAAGTTTTTCCTCCCATTCAGATGGAACTTCTTGTTTCAGTTTGTGCCCATTACCACTTGTCCTGTGGTAATGGGCACAAACTGTGGCACCACTGAAAAGAGTCGGGTCCCAGCCTCTTGACACGTGCCCTTAAGATATTTGTGTGTATTGATGAGGTCCCCCCTCAGTCTTCTCTTCTCCAGGCTAAACAGCTCCCTCAGCCTTTCCTCATATGAGAAATGCTCCAGTCCTTCAACATGTTTGTGGCTCACCACTGGACTCACTCCAGGCACTCCATGTCTGTCTTGAACTGAGAATCCCACAACTGGAAACAGCACTCCATATATGGCATCACTCCCTCAACCTGCTGGCAATGCTCTTCCTAATGCACCCCAGGATACCATTTGTTTTCTTGGCACAAGGGCACATTGCTGGCTCATGGACAGCTTGTCGTCCA